TATATATAAATATATTGCATATATACATATGTAAATAAGATGAATAAAAATTTATAAACACACACAAACACATACATGTATTTATATAAATAAATATATAAATATATCATGTATTAATATAAATAAATTTAGAAATATATGCACCCACACACACACACACATATATATATATATATATATGCGCGTGTATAAATATAACTAGATTGGTGTTTATATCAGTATCAATGTGAATATATATATATATTTTGGGATAAATACATATACATATACCTACACATATGCATGCATACATACAAACAAACATACATATATATATATATATATATATATATATATATATATTATATATATATATATATATATATATCTATATATATATATATATATCACACATTTAATAAATTTTATACAACAATCCGAATAATGTACAATATACTAAGGGCATACGGTGGGTGTGTAATTCAAGTTGGCATACCTATTCATATTCTACGTACATAGAAATCGCAATAATCCAATACGCCGAACCTTTTAACCATGATACACTACCCTTCGGTATAATCCTTCATACTGTGCCGTTTTGAAAGGGGCGAGCTGTATGCAAGCTTGCTAGCCTCGTGTCCTGTGCTACGAATGCGCAGCTGTACATTCTAACACAAAAGTAAACAAATATATCGTAGAAAAGGGGGTGTGCAGTGGATACTGGATAGTGGATACTGATGAAGTACAAAAAATATATAATAATATTTGTGAACCCCACGCGGACGTCATACTGATATGAAAAATATTTTTTTTTGTAGTATTTTAAAAGACAATTTTTTATAAAAAATACATACGCTCTTTGTGTTTTACGGGAACGTCTGTAGTAATTTATATTCAAACTTACAGAGATGACTTGCGTGATATAGAAAGACAGATGTAGTGATATACATCCCTGCAACGAGCCTGATACGTACACGACATCGACGACATACAGTTGATATGCATGTCCGTTTATAGTGTTCAAGATATGAGGGGGTTTAAAATCAAGTTCTTCATTGCAAATTGACAAGTAGTTAACCGATTATCTCTTGTAGTTCGTCGCTACGAAGCATAGGATCCGTTGATCAGTATCGACGACCACAACAGTTTACTTTCGAATCATATTATTTGATTACCATGAGCGTTAGTGGTAGAGGGATATGAAGTGAATACTCAGTGTCGGATCCATCAGCCTGTACCCTCTCCGATAGCCTGTTTCTCTGAATTAGTGCCTAGATATACATCTACAGCTACTCTGTTGCTAAGATGAATCCATGCCACATGACACTACGCACACCATGTGGTGGACCACATGGTCTGGTGAGGGCGGCAACAGACACACTGCATGTTACTACAAGACTGTACACTTCTGTGAAATTGCGAACCTCTGGGCCTAGCCGTTTACCTTGTATGCACAGACACGTAACGGGATTGCAATCTGCCACACGACACACGCAGGTGATCGCAAATACATATGAAAGAGCATTGTTAAGTAACATCCAGCACGATTTTAGCGTTCACTCTGTAGCAGGACTATGTGGAAGTACAAGAAGGAGAGATATTCACACCAACACACCCAGGACAACGATGTATAGGGTGCCTGTAAAAACACGGGGCAGTGACAAGTACGTACACATACCTTCTGTTCTATTCCAATCTACACCTAGACGCAACACGAGTCTGAGATATACAGACCATACAAGTCAGGAGATTAGTAGGCAGGCATCATACAGCCGCACGCACACACACCAGTATCACACAGCAAACCCAGCGACGACCATCCACACAGACTGGCGTAATGCACTGTCAGACCTGGACGCTGCGTGCGAGGCATTAGCCATTTTAAAACGCACACACGCGGACAAACATGCCGTGGCTAAACAGTCTCAGACAGTCACAGGCATGTACCACAAAGCCGTACGATTCTGCATCGACGCACAGCAGCTGCATGAGGCGTTCACCATAGCCAAGCGCATGGCCGGCGAGCACATTCTGCTGCGCAATCCAAACCATCTCATGAGTGAGTTGGTTATCCGGGGTATGCTAGGACAAGCTTTGGGAGTCTACCAGAAGCACGTGGCGCATAAGGACCACCCCGCGCCTGGGTATGGAACTTGCGTGCTGTATCTGTATCAACCGAGTGCTCATGAATCAGAGTGTGCGCGAGTGCTATAGTATGTGCACAATGCGGTGGTAAGTGTTTGATTGTGTAGAAGAAAGTGCTTGTTCTTCGTGTCTGTACGTATCAGAGAGGGGGTGTTCCGTAGATGTAGGTGCACGATGTCTATATCAAGACTTTAATTAAGGTGCTCGATGTCTATGACTTTTATTAAGGTGCTCAATGTCTATATCAAGACTTTAATTTAGGTGCTCGATGTCTATATCACGACTCTAATTAAGGTGCTCGATGTCTATATCACGACTTTAATTAAGGTGCTCGATGTCTATATCGCGACTTCAATTAAGGTGCTCGATGTCTATATCACGACTTTAAATAAGGTGC